GATGCTACCTCGTTTAGAACAGGACAGAGGAGAGACAGGCAAGGTTCAGAGAACAGAGATTACAGATTGTACAATGAGATGGTTAAGCCAGCAGCCTTTAGAGTCCAATAAACTCAGAGGAAAATCTGACTCTGCCACTTTTTAGCTGTGAGCCTTTATGTGCTACTTTATCTTTCTGAACCTCATTGACCTTATCTGTAAAGAGAGGATAGTGGTAGGGCTTACTTCATTGGATTATGATGGGATTAAATGAGATAAGGCATGTAAAGCACTTAGTAGAGTTTCTGGCACATAAATCTGTAATACATATTATTTATAACTCAATATTTAAACCATAATTCTAGAATAATGATCAGAACTACATACAAAAATAATGTTAGTCTAGGATTTGAGTGACCTTAATTCAAGTCTTTTATCTGAAATTTGATTGCCTAGACGTTATAATGCTCATGACAGTGACCCATACATGATACGTACCCAACAAATATTTGCTGGATATATGCATTAAAAAAAACAAATAAATGACTGATTTAAACTTTCTGGGTTCTCAGTTTATCTTGTATAAAATGAGATTAGAATGACCCTATCTTTATTCCATCCCTGGGATGTTGGTATGATAAATTCAAAGAAAAATGTCAAATCATTTCAGACACAAATGTGCTTTGTGTTCTAATAAAATCAGTACATATAAACTAAGCAATAAGTCTCAGTAGCCAGGGCTTGTATTTAGACTTTTCCCATCTTTGGAAACAAGGACATGGGAGCCACCTCCGTGTGAGTCCAGGAAACGTATTTTCCAATAAGATTTTATCATGCTCAGTAAGGGAATATTCAACTCAAAGTAACAAAGTGCATGATAAGCAGTTACAGACAATGACATCGTTGGCCCGCTCTAAACACTTTCTCCCCCTTACTGCTTTCATTTCTGAGAGCACCTTGTGGTCTGCCGTTGATCATCTTGGGAAACATCTTTAACAGCATCACATGAACTGAAAAGGCTCCCAGAGTGCTTCACAACAAACATGTTTAGCTGTTAAAAGATTGACAGCATTACTAAGGTATAATTTTTCTGAGACAGAAAGACTGAAGTAAAAGAAGACAGACATCTAAACTACAGGCCTTCCTTATCACTACCAGATCCCTGGGAAAAGTTCCCTAATTCTCTAAATCTCAGCTTTCATGTCTGTATAAAGAGATAATTATGTCTAATTTCAAATAATTTCTATACACATTTAAACTAAATTTAAACTGGTTCTGATTTTTATTGTTCTATTTTATCCTATTTCTTGACCTGGAAGACTTTCCGTATATGGTACAGAAAAAAAAAAAAAAAAGCCTTGGAAAAATTTAAACCCACACTTAATGTAGAGTTTCTCGAGCCAAGCACTATTGACATTGTGGGCTGGAAAACTTTTTGTTATGCAAAGGTTTCCAGTGCACTGTAGGATCGTTAGCAGCATCTCTGGCCTATACCCATTAAATGTCAGTAGCACCCCTCAAATCATGAAACAAAAAATATCTAGAGCATTGCCAAAAGACCTCTGGGGTGCAAAGCCACTCCTTGTTGAAAGCCACTGCCTTAAATGCAATTAAGCCACATGAATCAAAGAGTTCCCTGAAATTGTTTCTCTCTGTCTCTCACCTGAAGGTATAGCTAAGCCACTGAACACTGGCTGCAATTTAAAAAAGCTACCGATGATTAATGTATATTTGATGTCTATTTCAGCTTTCAAAAATACATTCTATTTTTTTTTCATTCTTTTCTGAATAAGATACCAGTCTTCACTATATGCATGGATATGAGTTTGGTTTTTCCCCAGAAATTAGTATTGTTTGAATTTCACTTGAGGAGACCAGCTTTACTTAACATTCTCAAGGCTTGACATCCACAGTAAAGATAAACTTTTGTGTTGAACTAAAAAACTGTTGAACTATGTGACCAAAGGCTTTTTCCATGCACTCAGATAGCACTCCCATGCACATTTGCCACTGAACTGACATAAACCCAAAAATTGCACATGGTAGTGTGCACACTCACACATGCACACTGATGTAATTTGAAAGCAACTCTTCACTACTTTATTATGCCGTTCTGCTTCCATTTGTGATGGATGGAGACCATGTCAGCATGGAGAGAATATAATGTTATGTTGATTTTCATTGTGCTAATGGAGGTAAATTAGCTAAAGGTCAATTCTAAAAATAAACTGATAAGATAGAGGAGGTTGCTGGAGACAAGAGTTTTAACAAACCCTCTGGTGTGCTTTTACAAAGCTGATTAACAGGAAGATTACCCCCTTCCTCCTCCAGGACAAGCCCTTGATAGTTGCTAGGCCAGGCACATTTTTCTTTATCCTTTTAAAAGTAAAGTTCCTAAATAATGCAAGGACGACAGTCTAGGAACTTAACATTCTTTACCCAATTGACAACAAAAATTTGTTTACAAGTCAGAGAAACATTTTTGAACATTAGGAAGCCAGGGCAGAAAAGGGATCCCACTTAGGAAGTAGAGGAGAGAGGGCAAGAAACTGAATCAAATTTAACCATTTTTGTTTTAATCTTGGTCAATTTATCATAATTAGTTGCTCATGTTCATCAGTTTCATTAAGCACCCCTCACTTTCCTTTGGCAATAATCTTCACTTAAGTATTCACTCATGATCATGACAAGTGTGATTTCTATTTTTCTAATTCTTATAATGGGGGGATTTGGTACATATCCAGTTATTCTGTTAAATGGATAGGACCAATTGGATCATTGAAACACTTTTGAATTCACTCTTTTTTCTTTCTTTCTTTCTTTCTTTTTTATTATTTTTTTTTTTTTTGCATTTATTCTCATACATGAGTTTGACTTCAAGTTTTTAGCTGATGTCAGGGTTCAGGATCTTCAAGTATCTGAGAGCTTCATAGCCCTGATTGAGTCAAATTGGACACATTTAGCAGTTCAGTGCTCAGGATTTGATTGGTAAAATATAGCTGAATTCACTAATCGTTCCACATTCATTTTGGTTATATTTTATGTGCAGTTAAAAGAATCAACTTTGGGGCCATATACATCATTAAATCATGAATCACTTTCAATTTTCTACAACTTATACTAAGTAAGGACCTAGAAATAAACAACTCTCCTTGGGAAAGAGCATTATTATTATGTCCTGTTGGGTATCATTAGAATACATCTCACTCAGAGATATGCTCCCATCTACCCAGGGCTGACTCTAATGATCCAGGTTTTTATTTTTGGGGGGAAAAATCACATATACATACACATACACATACACATACACATACACACACAATATGGAGAAGGGGTTATGGTTGACAGATAGCAGATGAAATGGCAAAGAATTAATGAAAATCTATTCTGCCCTAGTCTTAGGATGTTTTTCTTTTGGTATTTTCTCTTAAGATAATGAATAATGCATGCTTTGGCTTATTTGTAGTGGGAAGAAAGTAAGAGAAAATGAGGAAGTGCGTCTAAGAAGTAAAGGAACTGTTGACCTCTCCATACTCCCTAAACAGTAGAATTTTTCAAAAAAGATCTATAGACAATCCTCATCAAAATTATTAAGGAGACTAGGTCAAAATGCAAATTTCTTGGCCCTGCTTCAAGTTTCTGAATCAGACTCTTTGAAGTTAGGTTGAAGGAATCTGCATTTTTACAAGTGCTATGGATGACTTTTGTGCATCCTGAGTATTAAGAAACACTGCTAAAAAGTTTGCAATGTAAATCACTGGAAAAAGAATCTCCATTTCAATATACACAGCAAGATCAGAATAACAGACATTTCAAATAAATAAGCTCTGTGTTTGCATCACAAGGCTGTAATTATTAAAGTTTAAGACACTACTCTTTCAGCAGGGGTGGAGAGCAATAACCATTTCATCTGAAACCAGAATGATGAAGGCAGTATAAATCAAACCTATTCTAGCAGGTTTCACTTGGTCTAATTTCTCTGCAGATATTAATCATTATACAGTTCTATACACATGACAGCTAACTCCATTGTAACTCAGGATACAGAATGCTCACTCTGGTTCTTTCTCTAGTGTGTTATTTTGACAATATAAAAGAAAATAAATAAATTGAAACTGTGGGGCATCAAGATTGCAAGACGCCAAAAATACCAAGACATTAAAGAGAGAAATGGCCCATGCTAAACCTATAACCCAGCATGCAAATTGGCAAAAATATTCATCTGCCACAGAGTCACCAAAAGGAAAAATAAACTCTCTTTGTTTTTCTTTTAAAAATTGTTACATCAAGTAGAGGTGACAAAGAATTCTCCCCAAAAGTTCACAAAAAGAGCCTTATTAATTCCAGTAAAGATCATCTAGAAGACCAAGGCTAGTCAAATTCCATGGCATGATATATAGTGGCAGAAAATACCAGCACTTAAATTCACAGATCCACGCTATAGTAGATACAAAGTTGGAAGGTGGAAGTAGTAGCAAAGGAAAATGTGCAAGAATCAAAATTTGGTTCCCAATGTGGGAGCTGGTATCAAGTAATTTTGCAAAACACCATACATGCCTTCCTTTGGTCTCATTGTAACATGTTTTCCTTGGCACCAACAAAGGATACTGAGAGAAGAATCTAAAGCCCAGGGAAGCAAAAGTAATCCAGAAGCAGTAAAAGGTAATAATAGAACCTAGAACACACAACACACCTGTGCCAATGGATAAAGGTTCCTCTGAATCAAATAAGGCTAACTGAAAAGTGAAAAATTCCGTGTCAGCAGCCTTTAATAAATGTGTTCCCCAAAAATGAATTGGTTGGAATAGATACAACTATGAAGGAATAAAGAGCAAAGGGAACAGTTATTATTTGTGCTTTGTTCCCCCTTTTATTTTAATTCACCATGCATGCATTTTCAGTAAGACAACTGTGCCTATAAATACAAAGGATAACATCAGTGCATTATCTTTTTGACAGCATCTCAGTGCAACTTTTCCTAGCAGGGGAAAGAAAAACACACTACCATATGATCAAGAAGTTTTGTAAATATGTTTCTGACTTTGGAAGACCCACATGCCTTCAGGAAATGATCTTCCCAAGCTCACTGGATGTTAGCATCACGGGATTTTCCAGAAAGCAATCTAAGTTGGGGCTCTACACATGTGATTCCCCATTCATTTTGTCCATTTGATACTACTGACTTCTTCATATTAGCAATTTATGGCCCTTGTCATAACCAATGTTCAAAAAGCAAACCATATATATTGTTTTCTTCAGAATGAAATTAAAAGTTCGAAAAACTACTTTAACTTCAGTGAAACATGCCTGAGTCACAGTGACTACCAGGGTTACTAGAGCATGTAATCTTATAACTCACTTACCCAGAACTCATTTCCAATGTTGCAGGCTACCTGGACCTCACTTAATAACTCCACTCAAGCTAGACTGAAGGTTTCCTTCTCAGAGCCCTTTACTGACCATGTCTATGATCATTTCTATACAAACACCCACGCAAATAAATGCCGTGCTGTTGTGTTACCTGAAATTTTTTACCAAGGGATGGGTACCAGCCTAGAGTTGTTCCAAAATGAAACGATGCTGCTGTGGTAGTTTTAAACAGGTTTTCTATCCTAGCTTTGTTCACTGGGTGTATAAGGAATGCCAGAGCAGAGAAAACTCATGACAGGTCAGGAGTCGGAGGAACACTGCCATGAACACTTCTTTTGCAGTGTTTAATTTCCTGTTTAAAGAATGTAGTAGAAATATTGGGTTGACTGTCATTTTAATTCTCTAATTCTTATAAGGGTATCTCTCTGTCCTGAGGCCATTACAGTCAGGTGTAAAATTTAAGGAAGTTGGAACTTTGGTTATTTTAGTTAGATCCCAAAGTTTTTGACAGCACTTCCAGTGACAGCACAATAATCATTTGACCAAAGTGAGTTTCAGGATATTTTCCCAAAATTCAACTTCTTCACTCATTAATCTCTGTGATTCTTTGCAAGATCTTCTGTCATTAGGAGGATGGTATTTTCATGTGCTATCAAGAAACACTGAAAAGAATGAAGACATACTGGTAGGCTTTACAAACAAAGCTATGTTGTAGTTAAGATCAAATATCTGCTAATATATTAATACAGAAAAGAACATCATTTAAATCCATAAATTATAATTTTCTTAACAACTCAACTCTCAAGATAAACTTTCCTTTTCGCTTATGTTAAACTTTAAACTCTATTCAAACTATCAGGAGAAGAAAACATTGGCTGAGTCTGTCATCCAAGTGTGAAGGCAAGAATCATAAAAATTCTGAAAGATATTTATATACTGATCATCACTAAGAACAGAAATCAAGACAGAACCTCTTACATAATAAATGTGCATCCACGAAAGATTTCAAAAGGAAGAAATTAGTCATTGTTTTCCTCCTATAGACATCATCCAATTGCCTTTATTACCTGTGATACACATACACACATGCACACACGCGCAATAAAACCAATTAGGAGTGCTTGGCACACAATTAATAATTGACAAATTATTTTTTCAGTTACTACTAAAATGCGTGAGAAATGCTGAAAATAAAAACTGGTCTTTTAACCTTCATGTCGCACAAGTCTCTGAAAGAGCTATTGGTACCTTATAAATGCAGAGTTACATGGATGGATGGCTATTAACAGTTTCTTTTTGGCTGTGTCTATACAGGTCAAGATGTAATTGAAAAGGATAGCTTCATTTAGAAATCTGAAACCTTAATTTCGGAGTTCCAGTTACCTAGTTGGGTTGTTACAGGTACCATAAAAATGACACAGCTAAATCCTAGCATGGGTACAGCTAAACCCCGAATCCCAAAGGCAAACAAAACCGGCTATAGGCAAGTAACAATGTAGCTTCGCAGTTTAAAATTTTTATAAGAAATTATTAGGAAGTGTGTGGAATACAACTTAAAACAAAGAAAAGGCCAGAACCTTATTCAAGTACTGTGTGATGTTCTTAGTTCCACAATGACACAGGAACTACAGAACTTAATGTGGATTATGTGGAAAGGCCACACCATTAAACTGTGGGCAGTGAGAACTCTGAAAACTTTGAGAGAAGGACAATTCAGTTCAGGGTAGAGAAAGTTGAGTGTGGGGTCACTTAGCAGTAAATTTTCTGAATATGAATGTTTGATTTTTTAATACAAAGAATGTTTGAGCAGCTCTCCTCATCCTCTCTTAACCCAGAGAAAGGGCAAAGCAGTAAAATGGAGCCTGAGGGTGTTAATTTCGATATAAGGAAGACATTTGTTGATGATGAAGGTTATTCAATGTTAGAAAGTGTTGCCAAGAGAGGATGGGAAATCTTCCCACAAGAGTTTTAAGAAAGAGTCAGAGTCTCATCCATCTGAAATGTTGTTCTAAGAGAGGGCTGCTGGGAGCAGGAGCATAGTCCTTGGGATGTCTCGGCCCTGGCATCGTGTGCATCGTGTGTATATACATCCTTAATTGTGCTTGTGTTGCACAAACACTCATGCATACGTAGCCAATAGAAATGGGCACATATAGATTTGAGTGAAAAGTCATATAAATCTGCCATTCCCCCCTTACCCCATAAACAAAAGGAAAAAGCAAAATTAAAAATTCCAAACCTATGCCATTGGGCCAGATCTTTTTCTACCATACCCTCATTCAAAGAAGGGAGGTAGAAGATGAGAGGAAAAAACCCAGTTTGGGATAAATGACTCCCAAGGCCTCTCAGCTACTTTCATGTAGCTGGCTCTCATTACATATAAGATACTTAGCACATGGGACCAAGTAAACAAACAAATAACTAAAAAAGATTTTCTGGTACTTCCACATCTAGAAAGAAATCTACCCTGTGGATTTACATGTTAAGGTGAACTAGGTAAAGTAGGCAGTAGTATATCAATGGACTATTGTGTTCTAAGAAATGTGCATCATTAGTTGTATTTTTTCCTTTAAAATATTAATTCCTTTTAGGAGGTTAGTTTCAAAATGATGACTTTTTTTTTTTCCCACCCCCACCCCTCCCTTATAGATGATACTTCCGTAAAAGTTCAGATTGCCAAGGATGTTTTCTCTCGGGAAAGCGATCTGGAATTTTGATTTTCAGGAAATCCTGGATACATTTCTCCAGCTCCTCCTCGATTGAGAGCTTTTCTTTAACAGCTTTTTTTTTGCTGCTCATGTTCGATTCCCTGGAGCCTGAAGTCAGAGTCCGGAGTAAGTCGCTTTTCCGTCGCATCTCTGACTGTTGGATCAGCTGGACAGGGCCCTTCTTGATGGGACGGTCCAGAGTCTGGATGTTGGTCTGGCGTGTCACAGGACCACAGATGACCGTCTCCTGGGGAGAGCTGGCCTCGGACTGGCTGTCGCAGCTGGATGTGGAGAGGTCATTGCAAGACGTGCCACTCTCCCCTTCTTTGTCACCTTTGCCATTCTTGCAGCAGCAGTCGCAGTGTGAGGGTGACCATCTGGAAGGCTCGCCTGGAAAGAAAGCACAGGACCCAAGGGATTAATGCCAGCCAGGTCAGTTGGGGTAGCGGCATAGCACTTAGACGCACACACAGACACACATAAGAGAAGCATCACAGAACCATGCTTTTAGAAAAAGTGCGGTGGCACCCAGGATTGGCTGCAACAGGAGCACCCCAAAGCTAAGTCCATGAGGAGAGGATGTTAATGATGGCATACTACATAAGAGGAAATATAGTATAATGCTTAAGTCCATGAGCACGGGAGTCAGAAATATCCAGGTAACACCATTTATTAAGCTTATCACCTTGGCGCATCCCTTAGATTTTCAGACTCAGTTTCTGAATCCATAGTATAAGAGTAATAATTTTCCTACTATCTGGAGTGGAGTTAGATAAGTCAAGTGAAATTCTTACTGCAGTATCTGTCTCATAGTAAGCACTCAATAAATTCTGGCCAATTTTCCATAGCTGATGGAAAGCTCCAAAGCTCCAAGTGACAGCAGTCAGGTACAACAGGAGGAGGCTATCGAAGTAGAATGACTGTGACCAGGGAAGGGTGATTGACTCTGTGCCTGTCCCTATCTGGGTATCCCTCATCTCCTTGGTCCTTAACAGTAACTCTGTCAAACGGTAGTTCCAATTTCAGTCTCCATACAAGGAAACTAAGACCCCAAGAGTTTAAGAAACTTGCCACAGTTTGTACAATTTGTAAGTGGCAGAGCTGAGATTTGAATACGGATCTTCCAAAGGCCATAACCATGGCAATTAACCATTTTTTTTTTAATTGCATTTTAGGTTTTGGGGTACATGTGATGAACATGCAAGATTGTTGCATAGGTACACACATGGCAGTGTGCTTTGCTGCCTTCCGTCCCCTCACCTGTATCTGTCATTTCTCCCCATGCTATCTCTTCCCACCTCCCCACCCCCCCGCCCCTCCCCCATTTCCCCCCAACGGATCCCAGTGTGTAGTGCTCCCCTCCCTGTGTCCATGTGTTCTCATTGTTCAACACCCGCCTATGAGCGAGAATATACGGTGTTTGATTTTCTGCTCTTGTGTCAGTTTGCTGAGAATAATGGTTTCCAGGTTCATCCATGTCCCTACAAAGGACGTGAACTCATCGTTTTTGATGGCTGCATAATATTCCATGGTGTATATGTACCACATTTTCCCTATCCAGTCTATCATCGTTGGGCATTTGGGTTGGTTCCAGGTCTTTGCTATTGTAAACAGTGCTGCAATGAACATTCGTGTGCATGTGTCCTTGTAGTAGAATGATTTATAATCCTTTGGATATATACCCAGTAATGGGATTGCTGGGTCAAATGGGATTTCTATTTTTAGGTCCTTGAGGAATCGCCACACTGTCTTCCACAATTAACCATTTTATTCACTATCCTTGTTAGTAAAATCTTTCCTTCTACTTCAAAGCAATTTTAAAGTTATAACATCTCTGAATTTCTTGTTAAACTCTTCTCAGAAGTATTTGCTTTTTTCTCTTCTCTGAATTATAGTTCTACATTTTAAGTACCTCTATTATTACACATGTTATATTCTGTTATATATCATATTAGCTCCTAGGACATGAGCTCCTTAACATGAGCATAGTGAGGTATCCATTGTTGTAATCCCAGCAAATAGGCCAAGGAACAATGTAGAAATTCAATAAAAGATCATCTTATAACTTTTAAGCACCTGGATCTAGCCACACCTGAAGCTAATCTTGCCAGTGAGCTTTTCATTTATATGATAAACTATATTGTGTGTTATTTTTTAAGCCAATGTGAGTCCCTCTTCTCTCACCCCTCTGAGTCTTGATTCATAACACTGCATTTAGCAATGTGAAGACAAAGCAATGTTGCAGATGCACAGTGGCTCCATCAACCAGAAAAGAAAAATCCACAATGATGGCACAAAGCAACTGCCTAAAAAGGAATCACTGCCCCCTGCCTCCCACTCTCTGAATAGCTACAGTCTTCCTGGAGTCATTAACTTAGTACTATTTACTGATCATGTATTACATGCTGGGCACTTGTATAATTCTTTGTTCTTAATCCATAAAAATTGTTCCCTTATGATATTGAGGACAAGGATAATGTACTACCTTTAAATATTTTTTAAGGAAACCCCATTTTGACTTACACTATATCTTATTCTCATGAATAATAAGTCACATTATACAGGATCCTACTTTATTGCTATTTCTAATATAGTCAAAGTAGAGAAAAATTACAATGAAAACTATTAGAAAGTTACATCCTATCTTCTTGTATAATGCCTCTCCTTTACACAGTAAATGATTTAAACATATATACTAACTTATCTCCATACATTTTTTTTTTGGGAAAATAAAACAAAAGTTTCTATAAATTACAACTCTAGAAGTACCCCTAAATTATACCCACTCTTTCAAGCCACTTTCTAAAATTTTCCCCGAGTAATCATTGTATTTATAAAGCCATTAAATTAAATGCAACCATCCAATTAGCCAAAAGGAATCACAATAGCAGTATTGTTCTAGTTATCTCAGGCTATTACACATCTTCCATGCAATATAAAAACAGTTCAACATATACCAGCTGGTGACTGAAAATATCAGTACTAGAAAATGGTTTCTGTCTGCCAGCACAGATTTTGAGGGGATCATTTTTTTTAACTTCACTAGGCAGAATCTGCTTCTGTTTCCCCAAACTCGGCAACCCTTGTACCAAAATGACTTAACTGGAAATGGTTCCAATGAATTGAACTGAAGAAAAGTAATCACATCAAGCCAGAGACAATCTGGTTTTAAACCTTTTTGAAAAAGTTCAGAAATTAATTTTAGCTTTTACAAAAAGAAACAAGAGGAAGCAGGGAAATACAAAAGAGAGGAAGAGAAGAAATATATGCTGGGATACACCTGTTACCTTAAAGAAAGATTACAAAATATTTTGGCAATGAACCCTGCTGAACAAGTAGAGAAGCAATTCCTATGTCTTTTTGTCCAAGAGGTAGTCACCGTCCCCATGGTACAGTCATTTCATTCAATGGACCCAGAAGAAAACCTGGGTCTTCTCCAGTTTTTTTTTTTTCAGACAGTCTCACTCTGCTGCCAGGCTGGAGTGCAGTGGCACAATCTCTCACTGCAATCTTGCCTCCTAGATTCAAGCAATTCTCCTGCCTCAGCCTCCTGATTAGCTGAGACTACAGTCACCTGCCACTATGCCCAGCTAATTTTTTTGGTATTTTAAGTAGAGATGGAGTTTCACCGTGATCAAGCTAGTTTTGAACTCCTGATCTCAAGTGACCTGCCCACCTCGGCCTCTCAAAGTGCTGGGAGTACAGGTGTGAGCCACTGCACCCAGTCTTCCAAAAGTTATTTTAACAACACAAAGAATTTCTGTATATTGATGTGGAAAACTGCATGAAGCCCTCACTATGTGCCAAGCCAGGAACCTGGCAAGGATGCAGCTGTTTCCTCCCTGGACTGCTGGGATGATCATGTATTTAAATGTCATCTGGGATCCTCCAGCTACCAGACATATAGAAGGATTGCTTTCCACTTATCCTGGGTGCTATCACTATCAAAGGGAAATTTAAAAACTTAATTCTAGTGGAGGTTGTCATACTACCATGTTTCAGGATTTTATAAGAACATCTGACTGATTTACTTGCCATTTATTTTGGCAAGATAATTTATGAGATGGCTTCTGCAGTCTGTATGTTATATTAAATTTTTAAAAAGATAGGATCAAAAGGGCCCCGTGCAGTTGATCCACTATTACAGGATTAATAGTACTACAGTCCCACTGTAGTACTACATGAAGAGTCATTGCAAAGTTTGAAACATAATCAGATATGAGAAGATAACCACCCCATCTCTTTTCTAGGAGCACTGTCTGCCTGACTACCCTCTTCCCAAGAACCTAATTATAAGCAAAGAGGTTATAAAACAGAACACAGAAGTGACACATGTAAGCTCCAGACCCCTTTGACCTTGCAGTCCCACTGTGATGTGCTTACAAGTCTTAAAAAGTGTAGAAAGATCTATGAAAGGTCAGTTCTGTAACAGAAAGTATTGTAGAATTCCCCCAATTACAGCAAGTAACGATCTCACAAATACCTTGGTACTTCAAATTGCAACGTATTTTGCTTCCAATTTGCTGAGGTTTCAATCGTGGCTGGAATAATTCTCTCCATTTGGGGAGAAAATAGGTTACAATTGATTAGCCAGATTTGGGAAGAAAGCCATTTTATTCCAAGAAAAGTCTGATTTATTAATATTAAAAAAGCAAAAAATCTATTGCCTATTATGGGAGTTATTAACTAGTTGCTGGTCAAAGAGCTTTATAGCTCACCTTGTTTTTTAATAAGTCATGCTGAATTTGTTAAATATTATATGATTTTTGGTGCCTGCTATATGAGAGTGCCTTGATAAATGTTTGATGAATAATCAATGAATGAGCTGATCACATATGTTTAATTGTAACAAGTTGATATCATGGCAGTGCAGGTCTCAGGCACCAGAGTCAGGCCTCACAATTTGTCAGCTATGGGACCTTGGATAAATTACTTCAACTCCCTGAGCCTCCGTTTACTCATCTGAAGAATAGAGCTGTTAATAGCATTCACTTCACAGGGCTTTGCAGAAAATTAAATGAGATAGCTAAAGTAAAGGATGTTTCATAATTTGTGGCACACTAAGTATTCCATTCAATTATACATCATTGTTCTACGACAACCCTGACGCTATTCCATATAAAGGAAACAAATCAGGAGCTTTCTATATAATACAATTATACTGTTCCCACCAATACACTACACAATGAATTCTTAGAGATAGCCAGAGTCTCACATTAGTAATGACACTGATGTCACAGCTGGATGCATCAGGAAAATGTGTATTGAGTACTTAGCAGTGTCTGCTTCAGCATAGGAATGGTGAGTGAGTGACCACAAGCACATACCGTGTCAGGGGATGTTTTTGGGAGGAAGAAGTCCTTACAGTGCAGTGCTTAAAATTTCACAAA